TCATATTATATCTTCGAAAAAATGAAATTGCTAATTTTAATATCGTGAGTATATTTAATAAAAGTTAAACATAAAATTTCAATACATTTATTTTAAATATTTTTAAATTGTAATAAAATCAATTTCACGTTGTGAAAAAAATATCAGATTATATCTTCCAAATTCAGATTAAAACAGTCGCATGTAATTACTTAATCGAATAATAAATGAAGAAATACGAAATTTATTACCAATAAATCTTAACAAATATCAAATACGCGTAAACAATGACAGTGGAATAAAAGGGTTGCCAATATTCAACATATCATAAATTAAAAAAAAAAAAAAATAGTTGAAATAAAACTAAGAAATACAGCCTTGACCATAATTTTTCCGTAGCTAGTATTGAGGAAAATTAAATTTGCATTTGATCACGTCCGTAGTTCCATGAATTCGAAGCTTCCAAGGTTTTGTTGTAATATCATTCCTCCCAGTATTATATTCAACATCGTAGTTTCGAATAACATATACCTCGCCTTGTTTAAGTAGAACTCGAAATCTGCTCATATGCGGTGCACGAATTATTCCTTTCATGTATGAACCCTACATGTTTTATATATAAAAAAAAAAAAAATTAATAAAATCTCGAAAATTTTTTGAATTTTGATATTATATATTACAATAATTATGTTATTGATAAAATAGAAAAAAAGTATTACCCCTTCGTCATGAAACAGGATATGAAAAGCATTTCGATCCTCTTCACCATGATGAGTTTCAAGTAGATGGACAACTCTCAACTTCAAATATGGTTTGTTGGTTCTGCTGACGGCGTCCAGTGTACCCCAGAATGGTGCCATAGAATAATGTTTGTGTTTTGTAGTGTATGGAGAAGCTGGCAATCGAAGAGCATTGGAATTTCTGTTATCACTGTATAGCGTTTTATATAGTGTTTGTATGGTTATCTGAACGGAAAAAAAGGAATCAATTTGTTAGGATGTAGATTGGGTTTGTTGGTAGTCAAAATTAAGGATTGAATTTGTTTTTTAAAATTAAAGCACATTCCCTATTAAATAGCAAAGACAGTTTCCACGGAATTGGTTAGATTAGAATGATTTTTTAATTTTTTTTTTTTTATTTATCTTAAACGCGTACAAAGTGGTTGGAGGTTTAATGGGAAGTTGTTTTAAAATTTTGGATAAAGCAATACCGATTTTTTATTTAAATATTTTGTTTAATTTGTTTTAAAGATTTTTAAAGTACTTTCCACAAATGGAAAGTGAAAACATTTTTTTAAAAGTTTCCACAATTGATTTATTTACTTCCCTCTTTCAATATATATAGATGAACTAATACATATAGTTATGTAAACTAATACTACCGCCTTAAAAACATAGTGATGATATGTAGGGTTCAAGATATTAAATATATTTAAGGTATATTAGAGTATGGTTGAGCGTAGTTGATGTTATATATTTTTAAATATCGAGTAGAAGAATATTAATTCTTTTTAAATTTCCAAACGAAATGATTTAAGTAAGTTGCCATTGTTATTTTCCATTCTTAAAATTAACCAAAAATAATTGAATATGAATTTAGTATGTTAATGCATTTCCCATTATTATTTGTCATTCTTAACAAAAATAATTAACCTTACAATTAATTATCCAACCAAATGTAGAAATGTTGCCAAATATAGTCATTGCATATCATCTATATTTAGCAATAAATTCCACCAACTCCCTCTTTATATATATATAGATATAGATATAAATTGGTTCGATTCTCGCGGATCGAGATATGTGTTTTTTTTTTTTT